ACGTTAATGAATCTGCGACCAGTTATGCATGATTGTCCATGTCTATGCTAAATATGTTAATGATTCTCCCTTCACGCTCGCGTTAATGAACGTTCGTTCGCGCTAAAGACAATGCAGTTTCGCTTGATTGAAAGTTCCTTCGCGGTTATAAATGAACAGCAAAAGGTGTAATCTTGTCCTCATATTACCCATCATTCATCGTCAAGCGTAAACTCCTCTATTATACAGACATTTCTACTTGGACAATTTTTGCGTTTCTAAGGGTGCAAGGCCGCTTAAGGGAGATTCGACTGTACCTCCAGGGGATTATAACTATAAGGGTCAGCTAGGGTACCTGATGTCAGATCCTTTAGACAGTGGAGTATCTAGTTCACCACGCTGACTGCGATAAACTATTGGACATGGTGCTTTGTTCAGACGGCAAAACTCACTGAAATCGTCGGCAAATGAAGAGGGAAGTATGGCAACATTAGCCTGAAGACATCCCAAGCTGTAAGATGCGGATGGTTTGCCAAACAACTTTGTGTCTGTGCGGAATAGTTTTCGAGTTTCCCATGGTTTCAGCTGAGAAGTTAAACTCAACGCCATGTTTGTTTCACGTAAATACTGTGGTCGAGTCCAAAAGTACCTGGTGAACATGCTAGTTTCCGTAAGTCGTATTWTTGTTGTTGTGTTTTAMATGCCATGCGCGTTTTAAATAATTGAAGAAGTCTAGTCACGAAACATTTGACGTAGCAGAGACTAGTACCAACTTACTCAAACACAGGGTTCCCAACAACTAAGTACAAAAAAAAAAAAAATATATATAGTAAAAAATTCCGTAAAACTCAGTTTTGATATGAATTTCTAGAAACACTTACTGAGCTAACTTACTGAGCTATTCTATGGTTGGAAGTCAAGAAAATGGTTGAAAGAAAAACTGAACTGTCGAGATTACGCATATCATCTAGAAAGTTGGTACTAGCGCCCCGAGGCTGTCAACKTTGAACATAACTCGTTTATTGCACATGCACTTCGAACCATCTTGTAAGTTTTGTATCGATTAATTGTAGGCGTCAGTGTTGGTTACCCTGTTCATKCTGAAAATCGAAATTACATGGTATTCGTATGTTTAATAGAAATAACAATAAAATAGCAAAAGATTTCYAATTGGATTTCGCTCTTTTTTGTCTTCCGTTCACCTCATCCATCAGCCAACTTTAACCATTCTTAATTAAAGTCGGTGGCTTTCAACTCTTTTCTCTCATTTTGTTATATCTCTTAGAAATCCTTTTCTAACTTCAAATTATAATTAACAATGTTAATACCAATGTGCAAGAACCGGTGGGACATGGTTGCTTACATTAATCTTGGAATTATAGAGGGGAAAAGGGAATCATTCTCACTAGYTCTGTGTAATTTACTAAAGCAATATTCATCTTATCACGACTGACTGGTATCGATCTCTGTATACATAGTAACGAGATTTCTTTTTTCCCRACCGCAATTCTTGATATCGTGCTGCTTAATACACTTTTTCTGACATCCTATAAAAGCCAGGCATTTTTGCTTAGTAGGAGGGAAGTAAGTGTAGCAGCTAAACGCAAGTATTCGATTTTCAGTCTCATAAAACAGTTTATAAAGTACTGCCATTTGATTGGCTTACGTGCGGTATCGATAGTTAATAGTGCATGGTGTTTTAAAATTGCCATGGCAATCATTGCTTTCTTTAAAAAAGATCGAAAAAAAGGTTTAATTTGACGATAGAACCATAAAATATACAAATAATATCACGTTCTACAAATCTAAAAGCGTTTTTTCAGGGCTCTATTTAACCAAGATTTCTAATTAAAAGAGTCAAAATCAAACATGATATTGACGATAAAAACAGCCTGTCTCTGCTCTGATTTTTGAAAAAAAGAAAGAAATTTTAAAAGAAACAAAAAGTTATCAAAAATGTAAACTTATCTCAATATCCCTTTATAAAAAGGAATGTGCACTTGTGCTATTGTGATGCAAATGTGACAAAAGAAGAAATGAAATGCACACAGTGGTGAGATTTTTCCCTTTTCCACACCTGTCAAGATGTAATTGATTAATATGCTAATGCACAACGTTGTTAAGACTCCGGTACGAGTTTGTTGAACATTATGTACCGGACCAATATCAACACAGACAGTACACAATTGTACAGAGTATCGGGAGATATGAAAGTACAAACAGCTACAACTACAACCTGGTTGGTTGTTTTTGTTTTCATTTTAAACTTTGGCACTTGCTTCTCGTCGAAAAMACAGYTATGGGTAGGAGCATTTTTGACGGTTGATGTCAGTGGAGGAGGTTGGAGCTCAGAAGGAGTTCTTCCCGCAATTGAAATGGCAATAGAAGATGTCAATAATGACTCAACCATCCTCGCTGAATACGAGTTAAAAATGAAGTGGAGAGACACAAAGGTCAGTATATCCCGAAAATGCAAACAAGACTGATAAGGTTTCGGTAAATTTCTCTATGCTTAATAAAAGTGTGGGTTTTTGCACAACAGGACTGATCAACAAGAGTTGTTCAAAGATCGTTTAAACGGGTCAATCTAATTTTAGCGGCAGCCAAAACCGTTTTATTTAAGTTTTGATCTTTTACTATTTCATTCTTTCCAAGAAATGCCAGTGAATTATCAGACATTTCCTCTATTTATTACTTTTTAATGCGTGGACGTGACTCTTTAGCAGTATATACAGCTATATATACTATACCAGGCATTGCTATACAATTACGGCAAATACCATCAACTTTATACTATCAGTCATTCTAATTCAGTTTTCTTTACACTGATGACCAGGTGGGAAGAAATTATCCTTGTGCGTTATTGAAAAACGGTGCAAAACTTGACCAAGCTGATTCAATGACTCAGATATGATCAATAAAAATAAAGTTTTCAAAATTAAGCTCGTTAGTATGCCGAATACGATTTGTTAGCTGAGAGGATAGTGAGATCGTACASTAATTGGTTTCTCCTTGTCATTAGTAACCAATATTCACAATTATCTAGTAACGATGAGATTTTCTTCGCACGGAATATCGAAACACAACAACATAACTACTTATACAGTTAACATCTAWGATAATCSGAAAAAGCAAAAACAAAATAAAACAGCGGAGAAATTTAAAACTGTTTCGATTCCGAGACGAATACCGTGTAATACTTTTGTAAAAGACTTTTGTCACTTTTGACTGAACGTGAAAGTAATTACAAAGGCGACAAAGATGTCAGTTTTTTTCTTGGCAGTTAAAGAAAGAAAGTAGACTGTAGGCGTCATTCGCTAAAGAACATACTAGATAGATAAATGAAGAACCAGTTTTCTTGTTTTTTACGTTTTATTGTAGAAAACTCTAGCTCAATTTTATTTCCGTATAGAGACACTTTGCGGGTACACATTCTACTTAATTATCATCTGAATCATAAAGTTGTTCTTCCAATGAATTCACAGCTAACATGCAGTTTGTTTGTGTGGGCTGGTTTTTTATCGTTGGTTTTTGACTTTGCCCACACTACATACATCTATACATTACGCTATTCAACAGAGTATAAAATGGGTGTAAAGTAAAGTAAATACAAGTATTAAGCACTTTAATGTAGTTCATCCAGCAAAGCTACACGTAGGCTTGCATCYGCAACAAAAGCCTCTGTCAGCAGGTTAATKAACGGGAACTAGAAAATTATTCGAGAAGATGTAACWGATGAGACTTGGCGTCTCTTCATTGGATGTTGAGTGTTTTATTGCAGATAATGGATAAAGATTTCGCAATGGTAACCCATTGAATCAAGCTGAGAATCCTAGACTATTAGTCTATTATTCGAAATAATGATTCTATTTTAGTGTTTTAGGTTAAGATGGGAATATTTTTCCTCAGCTGGTACTTATGYTCTGCCCGAGGGGTTTTGGGTCAGTTCGACAGTAAGGGGCCGCGATATTTCCTGTATCTAGAACACGACGCACGAATATRAGTACGAATGAAGTATATCATGTAGATAACAGACATAACATATGTATTTTATTTTGCTTTGTTTGGTWGCTCTTGCTGTTTGTATCTCGTTTTGAATCCATTCTTAATAAAGAGAGAAATTATAAATTAAAGTCCCAAATATAAAGTATCTACGTAATAGATCAAACTGATACTGATTCCCCGATAATACACTCAATCTCACATGGACGTTGTCCAGAAAAAATAGTAAAAACAACAACAAAGTCATTTACTGATAAAACTGTTTTTAAATTTAAAATCCCCCAAAAAAAACAAATTAAATAAAAAAAAAAAAATTTTTGCAACTTGACATATTTTTTGTAATTCTTTCATATCGCCAGCCAACATGTCTGGGCAAAGTCGCGCTCCGATTGGCTGCCCTATACTAATAGAATACGAACTTGCTAACTTGCACCTTTTAATGACACCATAACATAGTGTTTCTCCGTCTTACAATGGGAGTAACCACAAAAAGTATACTAAATTATTGATACAATGYTATAGCAATTATCATCTTTGTTAGTGTCAGAGAGGATACGGCGTGAGACAGCTTGTACACTTTCTATCTGACGTGGAAAACCCACCCATCATGTTGATAGGTGGTGGATGTTCGGTAGCGACCGAGGCMACAGCACAAGCTTCACACTATTGGAATCTTATTCAGGTAACTGGGCTCGCATGTCGTTCAAATCCAGTGACTTTTTTGAATCATTATCGGTTAGCACGAAAACAAATATGAAAAGATTAGAAATTTGCATCCGTTCCTATTGGTGGCTGATACAGATCAGAGAAAACAGAGATGGACCGTTTGAACAAAAACAGTGCATACTTTGGTAATGAAACATATTCCTACGAACCCTTAATAATTACATTTTAAATAAATGTGACATTAAAGAATCGTGTGTTTTGTTCTCGTCTGAAAATCTCATTACTTTGTATTGGTTTCTTTATTCAMAGATCGCATATAGTGCTAACTCAATGCGATTGTCCGAAGAGTCTGTCTATCCGAAGCTATTCCGAACTTGTTACTCGGAAGCGATCGGMAATCCAGCTCGTATAGCGATATTAAAGAAATATGGGTGGAAAAGAGTGGCAGCACTTTATCAGAATGAAGGCCTATTCTCYTTGGTAAGTGTTCACAGCACTCATATTTATCTGCTATCAGGGTATACTATCACATATCTCATTTTTTATGTTTTTGGAGCGTTATTGTTGGGCAGTATAATTACAAGCTATTGTATCTTTAGACGTTAGATGAYTTAAGAAAGCACTTAGATCAACAAAATATTACATTGGTGACGTCTGAATCACTTCAAAATGATCCAAAATACCAAGTACGAAATATCAAGGTAATTAAGTTGACTTTTAACWTATGATCTTGTATGTAATAGAAGTTTCTTTTCGACAACAGTATCGATGTATATGAAAGAACCATTCAAGATCATAACTGATGACAGTGACTGCCACTGAAGTGAAGATGAAATCATTGATCATATACGATTAATAGTACCAGTATATGATAACTGAGATGATCAATCTAACTCAGTGACAATTACTTTTTTAACTAGAGCAAAGATGCTAGGATAATCATTGGTATGTTTTACTCGAATATGGCAAGAAAAGTCTTATGTAGAGTAAGTATTAAAAGCATCTAGTTCTCAGTCATCCATTGCGAAATGGACAATCTTCCACGGGAACAATCTGTGATATCGTCTGTCGTTGCATATCTTTAATTATATTTTAATAATCAAAATCAGGGCCATAGCTAGTAAGAGGCCAACCGAGGCACTCGCCTCGGTAAAATTTTGCCGATGCTTTTTGTTCTTCATCACTAATATTATCTTAGCCYCTCAGAGCCGATTTCGYACTACTGATTTTGTGCAAAAAATATAAACATAATGTTATTTTTGTACGTGTAGCTTCTTTGTTTCATAAATATTGCATGATGAATTCCGGTTAAATCTGTTCAATGAAGAGTTACCAAAAGGCCCACAAAACGATGCAACTTGCATTTCCGAGAGACTGAATTTCAAATTTTCTAGGGGGAGAATGCCCCCATGCAGACCCCCCTAGTTTCTCCCGCCATCGGCGGCCGCTTGCCTCGGTTGTCCATTCACTCTGGCTACGGCCCTGAAAATTCTGCTTGCTCCTGGCTTCCATGAGCGAGGAACCTCAGCTACAGAACATTATTACCCTGGGCTCCCTCCCAAGGATGTTCTACACGGTCGGGAAATCGGTCATACGTGGAGTGTCAACGCCACGACCTCGTACTTCGATTCCTGGTGATCTCAACCTTATAACTTGCATAAATAGCTTGCAAAGTAGGAAGTRAAATAAGCGAGGATGCTTTCTCTTCACATTCTCCCGTGCTTATTTCCACATGAACGGCGTCCTTTGCAGGCTTCGACGACATATTGACAATAAAACCTCCTATTAAACTCAGCTGGTTTAATTTTCTTAACTTAGGCGTACAAAGAAGGGATGTATGGCGGACGATATCAGTGGATCATACCTGGCTGGTTCAAGGCAAGGTGGTGGGAAGACACTGACAGCAGTAATACTCTAGATTGTACGCCTGCGCAAATCAAGCAAGCCGCTGGSAATTACATTGCAATAATGGAATCAACTTGGAGTAGTGATCCTGGAAAGACTATTAGTGGYCAGGTAGGCTGAATTCCACTTGAGGAATTTGGAGAATTTATTTGCTATTTGTCTTTTAAACTACAAACCAGTGAMATGTAACCCGATAACCCTCATCAAATGAACAGCRAABAATACCCAAGTAATGGGTAATAGTGTAATAAAACATATAAAAGGCCTACTTTAATGTAATTTAGTTCGTAATTTTTGGATTTCACGCTTCTTATCCACCTGTACATGCAGTATACGCCCAAATTTACTTGTTAGACCATATTTTGAGGTTGACGCACCATTCTAAAGGACGTAAGTCGAGTGTTTAGTCACAATCTGGGAGTAAAGTAACCTCTTACTTTTCTAATTACTAATGGAAATGATTGAAACATAATTTTTATCATTTAAAAATCAGACCGCATCAGAGCTAAACAGCCGTTACAAGAAGCGTGTCAAGCCGTCACTAACGAACGAGTACTGTGTGTTTGGGTACGACGCTGTTTGGGCTGTCGCACTGACGCTGAACAAATCTATCGATACCTTACGGGCTCAAGGGAAATCCATTGATCAGTTTCAATACAATGACACAGAAATGGCAAATGTGTTTGGGAAAAGTCTTTACGGTTTACGGTTTAAAGGAATGTCGGTATGTCTAGAAAAAAACGTAGAATAATTGCCTTCAAGCACCTGCATAGTTTTTTCTCTTTTCTCGTCCTCCTTTCTGCCTTCATGAATACTTATCATATCTCAGTCCTTGTCATTGCGAGAAGCAAATACAGAACTGAATATGAGAGATAAATGTCTTTACGCAAAGACTAAACTCCCMAAAGTCATGTCATTAAGTACTCTAAATAGACAACCACTATTTCCCCTGCTGAACAACGCATGCACTGATTACTCTGATTACTAATTACACGGTAAATCATTTCACTTTTGATTTGATTTGGATTTGTTCCATTTTAGGGAAATATCAAGTTTGATCGATACGGAGACAGAATTGGTCTCGTCCTTGTGGAGCAATTACAAGGTTGGTAAAGACTCTTCATCTCTCTTGTAGTTTATGATGAATTTAAAGACATGATGGATGTGTGTAATTGATTCTTACTTAGGTGACGCTGAAGTTAAAGTCGGAGAGTACGACTCTTTTAGGGATACTATTAACATGGTCGCTGGGAAGAAAATGATGTGGATTGGTAAGAACGTAAGCGACGCTAGGTACAGCAGAGAGCAGCAATCGCTATTCTTTTGCGCGCGCCCCCAGTCCTGATAGTAAGGTGTTACGTACGTACCTACCATGACTTATTTACTGAGCATGCRCATGCTCGTCTTAATTATCTCTAACCCGTAATCTACACATCCCACATGGAAAAGTGTCCAGGACCAGTAGTCCTAATAGTATGATGTGTAACACTGATGTGATTATCTTCACCAGATGGACAACCACCTGTTGACCGCACTCTGATACAGTTTAAGTTACAAGGAATATCAATGTCTCTCTTCATCTTTATGAGTACATTGGCCGTTTTAGGGATTTTAGTCGCTATTGGTTTTCTCGTGTTCAATGTTTACCACAGAAAAAAGAGGTTAGTATATAAAAACTACGGCTAATAAATTCAAGGTCGAGTATATCTTAATGAACTTCAGCGCCAGTGAGATTCGACGTTTTAACTCTAGTCCTCTRTCACKTTATGCATCATGACCACCCAATAGACTTCTGGACCATTTACGTCTCTACTTGATTTCCAATGCATTGACGGTTCAGTTTCTAGAGAAAACAAAAGAAATCTGCCATGTTTTGTTCCAAACATATCCCACAATGCATTGCGTATAGGGTATATGGCGTAAAAGCTTCAGAGGTCTATTGAAACCCCGTGTTTTAACGGCATCAATCCAGCAGGAGGCTGCGTATTTAGTCTGTTTTTTAACAGGACTGACTGCTTCTCTTAGATTCATACGCATGAGCAGTCCACGTCTTAACAGCATCACCATCATTGGATCAATCCTTGTGTACATATCAGTCATCATTTCCGGAATGGATGGAAAGTTTCTAAGTAAATCACAATACACCATATTTTGTCAGGTATGTCACGCTAATATCGCGAGATAGTGACGTAGCACCACAGGTAACCCGCATTTTTGCTAAGAGCGCGCGCCGATACATATACATAATAAAAGCGTACGCATTCGTTCTTTTCTGTCTCTAATGCATTAGTTGGGCGGCCTATGGATGCGTCGACTGTCACACCCGACAGACCCCAGAGAAAAGTCACGCTGATGTTATGATATGCGTCACGCCGACGCAACCCACTACAGCTCACGCTATCTCTGAATTTTGTTTCTATTCTCATGATTGACAGTTGCAGACGTGGACATTTTGCACTGGTTTTACMTTGGCTTATGGTGCCATGTTTTCCAAAACATGGCGTGTTCATATTTTATTTTTGAAGAAACGAGAAAGAAGGGTAAGGATTCAGCTACCAATCAGTTAAAAAAAGAAAGATTTTTACAACTGTTTTCATGCTTACAGTCTATAAAAGACCACCAATTACTCACAATGGTTGCTGGGTTATTACTAATTGACGTCATCGTATTGACCACGTGGCAAATTACTGATCCTCTSCATTATGCAATAAAATATCAACCGACTGTAGAGGTATGACGTACATTAACCTACATATAYATGACGTCATTACATCATTAACAGAATATGATGTAACGCGATGCCTGATTTTAAATTCCTATGTCCTTATTAGGAAGACGATCATCACGCGACAAAACCTTACAGCGAGTACTGCACTAGTGAATATTTCATCGTGTGGCAAGGAGTTGTGCTTGGTTATAAAGGTACACAAAGTTACTGTACATCCTACATGATGACGATGCCTGAAATGATCCAACTCAACAGATACATCCCATATCGAGACTAAAATCTCTTTTCTTAGGTCTTTTGCTGTTATTTGGTGCGTTTTTGGGATGGGAAACACGTAAAGTTACTATCCCAGCATTGAACGATTCTAAGAACATTGCTATATCGGTCTATACGGTGGTATTAACGTGTATAGTTGGGCTTCCTGTGCTAATAGTTGTCAAAAGTATGCAAGATTTCTCTTATGGTTTGAATGCTGCTATTTGCTTGCTGTGTACTTCAGTCGTTTTGTGTTTATTATTTGTACCTAAGGTAAGTTAAACTTTCCATTGCCATGATTCAAAACAWCGAAACGAAACAACGAAACAAATATGAAACGAAACGAAACAGGTTAAAACACAACATAATGCAACAGCATATTGCAAGGAGAAGCTTTACATTGATATCAAACATAGCAAAACCGATTTTCTGATGAAACACGCTACAAATTTAAATTTATATTCAATGGTAYTTAAAAATCTAAAATAACATGAACACTTTAGATTCACTGTAACTTGCTACGCGCAACTCCTTGGCGCGCTATTAAAACTAACAAAATTTTGTTAATGTTCTAGATCTTAGTCCTTGGTAAAAAAGAAGAAGTATCTTCTGTTAATCAAACCATCAAATCTCAAAACAGTGTCGGTCCTGCCAGCATATCTAACGCCCTCCATGAAATGCACAARCAACTTGACATCTGCAGTACCGATGAACARATCACACAGGTACCGGATTCCTGTCGCAAATGCCTTAAAAAATTAAGTGTGCGYTTACCGAGTCTGCCGGGTTCTGAAAATCTCTGATTCATCAGTCAACATTTAAAGTAGATTCGTGGTGAGCATATCAGAATCGTGCTTTCGACCGCCAATRTTTTTCACGCCAATTTATAGTCATGTTCTCGTATTACATTTTTTCAGCTAGCTGCAAATGGCGTTTTGGACGTCCTYCCAGAGTGCGGTAATAATGAAAAATCTGAATCTTCATCAGAGCGCACATGTTGAAAGTTTGGACGATGGCTGAAGTTAGTATAGAAGGTCTTGGTAATAAAACTATTTGGTCTGTCATGATTTCGTGTCAAAGACAAAAAACAAAACAAAACAAAAAACTTATATTACTTCCGTTTTTTAAGAGAGAAATTGATATCACTTTGATAAATAACTCAAGAATTTGTGCACTGAATTAGCTTAATATCAATGAAAACTTTAAGCCTAATTAGACGGCACAACTTTACGACTGTAGCCATGTTGAATTAGGCATTGCGACTTATAAAAAACTATTGAGTGAAAGGAGCAGCGTTTCAAAGCTTTTTATTGTTTAAAATATATAAAATCTATAGTACTTCTTTTTAAAAATATAATATATAAATCTTTCAGTATTTTTCTTCCGTGTGGACAAGTCATTCATCTGGTTGTAACGAACAAGGACGCTTAAACTCATTGCCATATTCATGAATCCATTTGTTCGCCACTATAAAATAGCAAAAAAATAATATAAAAAACACATACATATATATATATATCAATAACTCATTAATAAATAAATAAATCAAAATATTTAGGAGTATTTGTTTATTGTCCAGCTTACCCCATTTAATACCAGACAATACCGGGCAMCCAGCATGTCGTGTGCGAAAATCACCTAATCCAGATCTTCGTAAATTATGCCAAAATACGGCATCCCCCTAACGATAATAAACATTATAAAAATATTAACAATTATTATTCATAATCGCCGAAGAAAGGTTTTTAGGAGATACAAGCCCGACTAAAAGATACGACAGACATGTCATATTGATGGAGGAGAACTCTCGATTTTCAGACGAGATCTCAGATGAACTATTTCAAACATCAAAGGTCTTCACGGTGGTTGTAGATTTGTTTGTGTGTGTATGTGTGTGATTTTAATTGATATCCAACACCATTGACATCTCTCTGTCATGGATTGTCAAGTTTTGAGATTGGAGTTTCAAAGGCTTTGTTTTTACCTTTTGTGGGAGAACCCGTGCACCAATATAGGGAAACACTGTGGCACCTCCTGCATCAACTTGTGACATCTACAAAGACAAACAAAATTGAAGCTGTTATATATACAAAGTAATAGAGCGGATTTCGTATGAGTGGGAAACGGACGGTACTGTACTGTGACTGTAATCGTACTGTAACCAAATTCTAGTGCCCCATTGGTTCACCAAAATTGTGCAGGCCAGGTCCGGTAACTGTGCGGTAACCGTGCGGTAACGGTGTCCCACTCATACGAAATCCGCTCTATAAGACAAAGACCTCATTAAGTTACTTACATATACTAGTACAGTTGCAAGTCTGTTKCCTGTTCCAAGTTGACCAAGAGATGAGTTACTTAAATTCTACATGGCAGAAAAGATAAAAAAAAACAAAGTCAAACATTTTATTGGTTTGATGGATGGCCTATCAGTCTCCCCTTCTTTGATGCACGATCTATATGTTTATTTACTTACTCTTGAAAAATCAAAGTGTGGGTCATACTGTCCAGCAAGACCATAGTTTTGAACCTGGGAAACAGATGAAGATGTCAAAGACAAGTTAAAAGAGACCTCACAATGCTACCTCCATTTCCTTTATCTGAGACAGCATTATAAAGTCATGAGAAGGGGAGTGGGGTGAGGGTTATAATTTGAATATGAACATTGACACTTTACCTGAAATCCTTCTGCTGTTGCAAGGTCTAGCCTTGTCATTGCAGCAATTCTGTTTTCTATTCTTTCAATCACTTTTCCATGTTCTTTCCCAGACAACCAGCAGCTGAAATATTTAAATGAATGACATTAGATTAGACACTGTCCACATGATGATAGAAAGTTTTGTACTACAGCCAACAACACCATGTGAAAGATTGCAAAAAAAAACACCAACAACAACAACAACAACAAACAAACAAGAAAGTTTCAGTTCATATCCTTACTTTTTACTGACTCTATAAGATGCTGTTTCAAGATGTCCAGTAAGTGGATTGTGAACCGTTGCTCTGTTTAACTATCAAGAGTAACAACAGACTAAAGATTAATTCACATACTTGATACATTACTATGTTTCAAGAATGTCATACCTAAACATTGCTACAATAAAATAATAGTTTACATATAAAAACATCCCATCTTAGTGAAAATCCCCATCAAAATGGCAAAAAATAATGACAGATTAGTGGGCGAAGCTCAGGTTTTTCTGGCCAAAGCATGCTCTTGTTTAAAAGTCTTTTTACAAATAAACGAAGTGAAATTTTTACTGAAACTTTTCCACTGACCAGCTTATTTTTTGCCTTTCATCAATTATTCAAATGACTCACCAAGGGTTCAGAAATTTTCCTGACTTCTTGTATTTCACTGTCAGTGATAATCTTTTTCAGTATCATGATATCAGGGTTGGTAAAGACTCTTTCTATGGCACATCTCTTGATGATACACAGTGGAGTCCCTGTGTAATACCAGCACACCAATCTCTTGTGATCTTGAGGGGCCTGTGTGAAGGAAAGACTGACATTTTTAACACCAATAGTCTCCTTCACAGTTACCTGCGCCATCTTGAAAGGTAGCCGTGCCTTTGCATCGAAGCGAGACAAATGTTGAGTGTGCAATGATAGAAACCTTCTTTCACACCTACAAACAATAATTCACAGGTTTCTATCATTGCACGCTCAACGGTTGTCTTGCTTCGATGCAAAGGCACGGCTACCTTTCAAGATGGCGCAGGTAACCGTGAAGGAGACTATTACAATCCTCTGGAAATAAACATTATAATTGACAAGGAGGTGGTTTCCCATGTTTTGACCAATACAAACATCTTAATTTTACCTTGGGTAATTTTTCCCCACGRCAGAGTCTTTTGTAAATGTCTCTTTCAACATTCCAATTGAAGTTTTCCAAAATATCTTGAGGAATTTTGGTTGCCAAGTAACTGTAGGTGGGAGCTTTTTTCCATTTTTTTTGCTCTTTTCTTTTCTTGTATTTTTCTTGGTTTTGCTCCAACAATTCACCAAATAAAAGAAGATTATTTCTTACACGGTTGTTAGTAGGATCTGTACAAACAAARGATAAAAATACCAGTTGTAATAAAAGATGAAAGAGAGAAAACTAACTAATACTGTATAATGTCAGTAAATCTGTCTCCCTTTTCAGTGTATAATCAACATTTTTTTATTTGGACAATTTCTGCATAAAAAGAGTTTTAGTGTTGGTATGATATGGTATCTTCATTGCCTTATCAAGGTGTAAGGATAAATGATATCCATACCTAACTTATACACTTCAATCTCATGTTGGATAGCATCCTCCATATCATCAGTCTGACAAACAAATAAACATCATTATAAATAAATGTCCTGGTAAGATACTTAGCCATGAAGAACTACACAAACTCAAAGGTGGAAACAGGGTTATTCTAGGATTGAAGATGGTGTAACAGGGTTATTCTAGGATTGAAGATGGTGTAGAACTGTCAATATGATGTAAAAAAAACTGCTTCATGTAAGAATTGATCATAATAATTATTGTTCTCTCCTTCCCTGGTTATTGGATGTAAAAGGACAGATATCAAGAAAATTACATCATCAAACTTATTGGTATAATACATCATGATTACAGAACAATGGGCAACTGGTCTTTTTACCTTATACTCGGAAAAAGCCAAATGGTCTAAAACATCTTTCCTGTCAGGATAATCAGTATCATTATGTACACCTAAATCCATTAATCTCAAAGTCTCCAGCATCCAATCTCTTGTTGATTSGAAATCATTGTCTTGATAACTTTTTCTTCCAATGAAGTAAGTATCCATAGGYCCAAGCATGTATTTAGATAAAGAGACCTTGTAACCAAAACGACCTTCAGAGAAATCTTCSGGYTGAAGAGCRTATACCTCTTTWAGCCTCTTGATTGCTGCCACAGCTCCATTCAGATCAGTCCATTCTGGAAATCTCTGTTTGTACATTTGAAATCTATCAAGCAAAAGACCTTAAGGATGAAATAGAAATGATCAGTAATAATAATCACTAACATAATAATACTTATTTAATATATTTTAATATTCAAAGTATTCCTAGTTGATTAGAAATTACAYTCTTGTTATTTTCCGCCTGAACAAGAAAACGCTACGACATTCGCTGCGAAAACCACAAATGTCACTAAAATCACCAATAACAAATTTCCACGCAAAACCTGTCACGCAATATCGTGACATAATATAAAAGGTTTTTACGAGGACAGTAAGATCTTCCACAAATAAACGAAAATAGTCAACTTTAGATATTTTTGTTCGATGACTATGTTCAAAAGAACGCACTCGAGGCTCCGGGAAAATAATGAATCAATAATCTTGATTTATTCTTTTATTTCCCCGGAGCCTCGTCAACAATTCTTTTGTGCATGGTCACTGAACCAAAATATCTAAAGTCGGCTATTGAAATGAAATGATATACTTCTTAAAACGTAGATAAAGAAATCCYACATATTTCGAGGTTGCAATGCAGGACAATACTCTTAATAAAAACATGTGCGTCTACGGTGTGGTTGCGTGACAAGACCCGGATAGAGGTTCAATTGACTGTAATGAATTGAGATTGACAATTCTTACCTTCTGCTGTATTCTCGTTTGAAATAAGTTCTTCTATTCCCGGCCACTGTGACACAAATCTTTTAATCATCAAGTAAGAGTTGACGGGATGTTCGAGAAACTTTGAGCCACTACTTTTGGCAAGCTTCACTGTTCGCTGAACTTGACGCGAGAAATCCTTCAGTTTTTGAAGTCTATTTTCCTCAGCTTGAACATATTCTTCCAATGTATCAGCCAATTCAAGTTCTATACTCAACAATCGCTCCGTATGCGAAAAAGCTGAAAAAATTTCAGCAAACGTGACACGATGTGAAATATTCAAAATCACCAAAACAATAACAACAACGTTTAAAGCTTCCATGACTCCAGTTCCCTTGCAAGTATTTCCAAGGCTTTGGACTAGTGTTTGTTAATCTCAAGATGAAAGAACCATCCAATAGACGGCATTACTTTACAACAGTCGCCATAAGTATAACCTTGCAATAATATCTGGCCGTCTGACGCGAATACAAAGATGGCCTTCTCACTATATGCAAAGTACGCGTGCGCGTAGACTACAGGCCGTATCGGATTACTCGGGCTAGAAAAAAATGCTAGAAAGAGGTTTTCAAAGGTTGTGCTATATTTTACCTTTTTGAAGTCATAATATTGTCTTTCAAGTCGATTAACAAAATCACCTCAATACACAAGCCTTWGCGGGTACCCGAGGGAATTCATTCRATGTAACTGGTTTATAATTCATAAGATTTTTGTTAGACAACTCTCAAGTACGTGCAAAAGTGCACGAAAACCATAGAAGTAATGTTTTGTATCAAAATATTTCGATCAGTAACACGAAGATCAAATATACTGAGACAACAGTTTCTTTGTGTTCCCTGGACATCTATCCATTCAACTYAGTTTCCTTTCTTTATGATATTTTTTCGATTAATTATTTTCTTTTTTCCGTCTTTTTTGTAGGCCCGAACTTAGATGATCTTATAATGAAAACGGATTCCTATTATAAGTGATATCACGAAAAAAAGTAATCACAATAAAGACRCAAAGATGCACGCTGAACGACAACTGAATACTAATGTTTGTTCATCAGTATCAATCGCACATTTTTTTGGCGCGCGGCTAACCTTTACAGGACAACATAATAATCATGAAATTTAAAATGCTTTATTTCTATGTACAGACAATTAAAAATATATATAAATATTATTTCATAATTTAAAATGTTCCTACATGTCCTAAAATCGTCATATTCATCCTGTGGCCTTGTTAAATACTATAGCAACACGACGTCCTAAAGAAAKAATACCATTAGTCAAGAAACCAACAAACAAAATCTAACAACATAATAGTAAATACTTACATCATCATTATTGAGATTAAAGGTCCTTTGAGATTGMTCTTTCTGTAAATAATGGGATTTTTCGTTGAAGCAAAATTTTTATAAAAAATTTTCTMAAACTTTCTCAGTTTCGCTACCTCGGAAACATTACAAAGCGTGAAAAAGTTGCATTGTGTCGTATTAGTGTAGTCTTTTATGTACACTGAATCGCGGTTGAGGTTTTAGGATAGCACAAAATAATTAAAACTTATTGTCAACAAAGATTAGCGCCGATAAACTTACATGTTCAACATTTAGATTAAGAGAACGTCTTGCCTTCTTTGAAGACTCGTCCTGGTAATGGAAGTTAGCACGTGATTTACACTTCAAAAACTAGACCTCGCCCTGCCCTATATGGAGAGTCTCTCCMCAGTTGACTTATTATTTGTCAGTTTGAAAAGACATTTTTTTCTCCAATAAATCCTAAGTCATACACTCGTAATTGACAGATTGCATTTACCCGATTTTTCACCGTATAGCTAAAATACAAACCCTTACTAGAAAATAGAAACCTTACTAGTCCCGTTCAGGAATTATGATGGTCCTGCTTTTCATGGACCTGATAAAAGATTTCTACCGTTACACTTCATTTTAGCTKTTCCCTCAGGTTCTTCCCGATCCCACAAAAACATCGAAACCAGGTCAAGTACAGAATAGTAATCATAGTGTGGGACTCGAAATCCCTGCCCTCGGATTGCAAAACCAATGCATGACCATTCCATCATYCCACCTTGATTGCTATTTAAAGATTAAGTAATCCCTTATATTACACAAAATACCTTCTTGYTGGCTTTGCCTTCCTGTAGTGTATTCAGCTTGATTCTCTTCTTTGAAGAACTTCCAGATTCTGATGACAAAACAATTCGTTTTCTTTCTGCGCACAACGTGTCAGGAGTCCCCGAAATGCTGTCAGATACAAGTGGAACTACACGACCAACGGGCTGTYGAGGTAGAGAATGTTGTCCTCTGGTTCCTTCTCGTAAAAGTTTCATTCCAGACAGCTGCTGTCTCCGTATATCATCGTCAATATGTGGTCGATGAGTATATTGTGAAGAAGTTAATAAAATACCAGACCTTGTGGGATTATCACTGGACCCTGAAAAATAAAGTAACACTTTAGATGAATGACCTCGCAAACATCCATTGGTAATCTTATGCTTCAAACACATCGACATTTTCTCACAAGACAGTAGGAAGCTTGTCACAATCAATCATCCTTGATCATAATAATATTTGAAAACGAGCTTTGTGAAAAAGCACTGTATTACCTTGAATCTCGTTGACATCATTTGACAAAAACCCTCCAAAAGGCACATGTTCTACTAAGAATGGATGWCGTATTGCTTGCACTGGTGTAAATCTTTGGTCTAATGACAAAAAGGAACAARCTATTTTATCCTTTTGGAAAATGGGAAGTTGCAAGGAAAAATTAAGGTCTTGTTGTTGGCAAAAACATTTGATTTTTAAGTCAGATGCAAGAAGAACCTTTTGAAATGCTCTCGTAACAACTAAGTCAAAACTGAATGATAACATATGATTCAATCTTATTGCTAAGTTCTCAGGTTGCAAAATGTACATAAGGAAATGGGACTCATCATATTGTCAGTGAATGGAAATAAAAAAGTGAAAGAAAGGAATAGGAAATGGGACCAATGAACTATTTTTGGACAATGCAGCAATAAAAAATCAGTGAGATTCATACTTGGATTAAAGTGTAGCAAACCAGCAAGGAAGCTAGCAAAAGAAAAATTGCTTGTGTTGTTCAATTTCTTCATGAGCCGCATTTCAGTTGAAGCACCTTCATGACCTAAAAGAAATTGCAATAAAAAGCAGAATTATTTATATTTAAGGGAGCCCCGCCACTAAGAATGGCTGCAAGGAGACTAAGGACAGCTAAAATATGGAAGAAAAGAAATAGAGTTTGCTTTACATTAAAATACCTGATTTGGATGTCAGAAAACTTGAAAATTCATAGTAAAATTTCCCCGACTGATAAGGAATTCGGGGAAGAGGACCAAGAGTGGCTGTAATCTATAAAAAAAGAGGTTTCATCAGGACATAATGAGAAGGGAAAGAAAGGGAAATGGGAGAAAAAAATTAGGAAAAATGAGAAAATAAGAAGAAAAATGGAAGAAAGTACTCACTTCTTGGAGAACTTCCATTTTACTTTTTCCCAGAAACAGAGGCCTACCTAGATATAACTGAAGAACGATGGCAAGCAATAAAACGTCTATTAAGAGCAATTATGAGGGGGTTAACAATGTTTAATGATGAATATATTCAAGACTATATATTATTACCTCAGCCAGTATACATCCCAATGACCACATGTCTATTTCAGGTCCAAATGTGACACCAAATAAGACCTACAATCAATAAAAAGAATTATYGCAAATCAATAAATGAATTCCTACTGTATATTGTGTCTCSAGCCATCCTCATGGTTGTGGTTTAGTTACCCTCATTAAAATGTTATATTGATGTCTTCTTAGCAGTCTATTCTGTATGACCATCCCTGGTGTCAAATAGCTTWCCAAATATATTTCCCCACTATTCAATTCAGATCACAGCCATGATAGACCATAATATCACACAATTATGCCAAAATATCAACAATAAAGACACAATTACCTCTGGTGCTCTATATAGAAGAGTCTGGAGCTCAAAGTTRTCATAATACAAAGACATCTGAAAAACAATTTAAAAAGTTTGATTTTTGATAATTGTATTTTAGTTACATATTTCAAATGAATGATGTCATCTGTTTTGAACTACTCTGTACCAAACTCTTGTAAATACCTCACAATGAACCCATCTAATGGCATTTCCAAAATCTATAACTTTTACTTTAATTCTTCTGCCTACAAAAACAACAATTCATTTCATTGCTGACTAAAAAACATTTCTTAGCTAATTGAAAAACTTTTTTTTAATCACTCATTTTCTATACTGATTGACTCCAAAAATGGACAATCTATCTGAAAGCTTCCAAGGTAGGCTCGAGTTAACAGGAATGTGAGTGAATAAGCAAGTGAGCGAAAAAGACACAGATCATCCACCTCAAATAACTCTTAAAACTTTGGATTAAAAAATATGATATAGACCATCAATAACAGTTATTATTATTGATTGAATATTTATTATTCTTACCTGACTCTAGTAAAATATTCTCTGGYTTTAAATCAGCATGAATAACATTTTCTCTAGAAAAAAAAAACACATTAAATCTTTCTTGGCAAAAAAATATCTTTCTGAATCAGGTTAACTTGTTTATCAACACAGCATGAAACATTAACAAGTTTGCAATAAGTTAACTGCTTATTTACCTCCTTAAGAAACCAAGCACTGCCAGTACCTACAGAAAAAAGAAAATTTACACAAACAATGACAACAACAATAAAAACAAAAACATTGAAAATGTAAGGTTTATAATACCTGCACAGCAACYTCTCTGATTTTTTCCAGTTTTTCTTTCTGTAAAATGTGAGAAGATGTCATATATTTAATTGTATTATACTCATGGTAATAGCTAATTCTAAAAGATAACAGTTAATGAATACTCTTTAAAGTAAACATAAGCTAAACTTAATTAAACTAAAATTTACCTCAGAATCAAAAATAGATTCCTAAAATAGCAAAAATGAAAAAAAGAAATCATTGTTAATCTCTGCATTTAGAACCACAATTAYATTACCAGTTAAGTTAAATAAATTTACTCCATCTTTACATAATTTTAAAATTACATAATCATACCTCAAAGTATTGGTGCAAAGGTCTTGGCTGCAAAAGCTCAAAAACCATACAGAAATGATCTTGGAACATAAACTTATTCTGAGAGAAAACAAACTATTTAAAGATACAACCTGAGTTATAAAACAGTGCTTGTTTTAAAGTTCCTACCAAAAGTCTGGCAATCCTGGACACATTGAGAGGATCCGCTTTGCTTAACTGAGAAAGGCAATCGGCTTCCTAAATATGGAAACCACAAAGAATTAAATAACCCATYAATGGATTCTAATTATATGTACTTGGTATAAATATCTTTCCTGTATGATGAAATCACAGTAATAATTATCCAAAAGTGTGGTATTTGTAATAACTATTTAAAATCTGATTGGTCAACAACCTACAGATTACCTAGTCCAGTCTTTGCCTCCTTTCAACCCATTCTAAAACTAGCGTGAAGGAGAGTCTAGTATATTTTACACGCACATGTACAAAATGAGATCAGCAGAACTTTGCATTCATTTACTGATCACTTAGGAATTTCCTAGACGCTGCACAATTCACAACTTTTAAGCCTACGGCCTCGGCTGATCACATTTGCCTTGACYTTCATTTAATAATCGTTTGTACTCATACCTGCATCCCTAGATAAGTGTAATCAAGGTTCATTATTTTGATGGCTACAGCTTTCTTGGCGAAATGGTAGAGGTCCTACAAATGAAAGAATAAGCTCAATTTTTATTTAGCAAGTATTTTATATCAAATAACTGAAGCTAACAAATCATATTTAAAATTGCAATGTGACACCGGAATACCCAAACTCTTTATATTGTAGGTATTATAATCATATCGATAAATGTCCAACCTCRGCAGCAATGATAATGGAAGACTGTCCTTGGCCAATCAACTGTAGTACTTTATATCTTCCTRCAAGGGTTTTAGCTGAAAACACAACCAGATTTGTCAAAAACATCACACATTATTTGTACAAGAATTTCAMTATCACACATTTTGAAATGCATAAATGGCTAGATAACTAGTGAAGATGGAATGCAGGTACCCTCCTATTGCAGATAGCCCCCGCCTGTATTACAAGATAAAAATGAGAATGTTGGATGAAGGAAAGGGAAAGTGGATGGATGGATRAAAGTTATATACCTGGTAAGGTAAAGGACTGAAGTTCAGCTTTTGTTTTTTCATTGTACTTTGACTTTGTTACAGAAATCKTTTTGCTTTGTAGTTCTGAATAGAGTTGTTTTAGCCCGCACATTGCCTGCATAGCAACAAACTTGGTCGGTGGTGCTGATTTAGGTTGTGAATTTGACAATCTCCTAAAGCAAGTGTTAAATTTACAAGTTTAATCAATTATTGGCACCAAGGTTCACACATTGAGAACTACTGCACATAAAATGCGCATTTCTTTTT